CAGAAGATCAAAACCTTCAGAGACTTTTGGGAGGAGTCGTCCCTGCATGTCTGGCTTGTTCTCGGTCTGGATGATTCACAGGCAGAGGGGAATCTCTGGCAACCAAATCACTTGGGATTTAAAGCAGTAATTTGTGTACAGTAGAGTTGTGAGGAAGAAACAAGGTCACTATTGAATTCTTCAGTGCAGAGATAAAAGAAGAAAGCATTAAAAGCATTAAAATATGAAGGGAGGAAACAGTCAACTAGCAATAGCTCAGATTAGAAAAAGCTCAAGTTAGACAGGGAGTTGAAATGGTCTTAGTTCATCTTCATGTTGATTTGGAAGCAGTGTTCTTGCCATCAGTGATCCGTCTTGTACTTAGACATATCAGGACACTTTCTGCTTCTCAGAGGAGCCATTTCACCTCTGGACATGCTTCCTTGAAAGAATATACTTTTGTATGTTGGGGGGGAAATTCCTGTCCCTGTTGATGTTATGTCATAACCTTCTTGCATGAATAGCCTCTGATGGTTTTACTAGAGCTATAATTTTGCCCCAGGCTGCCTTTCTCAGTGTAAATGCCTTTTCTGGCCATTTTGCTCACACATCTGCAACTGTGTTCTCATTTCTCTTTGATCCCCTTAAAGGAGTATATAAACTCAAAACTCTAAGTTTGAATCTTCAGTCAATAATAAATACAATCTTCCCCATCTAGATACTAAATGTCTTAAGCTAATGTCACATTGTTTATGGAGCTAAAAGCCAGACCCTCTCTTCCTTGGAGGAAATCATTAGAACACTCTACCCTGCTTTTTTTCTTAAATATAATTTTTATTTTGTGATTTTAATGAAAGTTTACAGAAATGTTGGATTTTCATTCATTCATTGTTGTACATGTTCCTTCCCTGCCCCTGCCTGGTTCACTTTAAAAAAAAAATCATTTCTTTTTGCACAATTTCTTTCTCCCCTTTCTCTCCCCTTCCCCTTGTCCGCTTTGCCCTGCTTTCAAGATGTAGAGGGAAAGAAGTAAACAATCCTGGCTCCTGTGTACGTGCCCCTGAGAGAGAGGAGAAAAATATAAACTCAAGTCCCAGTTCTATCCCCCATTTTCTTTGTAACATAGAAGTCACTCGGCTTTGATCTTGCTTCAGTTTCCAGATCCATAGAAGGAGAGAAGAGATTAATTATTATCAAGCATCTTGGCAGAAAGCAGAGAATGCCAGAAGAATGTCTATCTGTGCTTCATTGGCTATGCAAAGGCTTTTGACTGTGTGGATTTTTAACAAGCTATCACTGACTCTGAGAAGAATGGGAATCCCAGAACATTTGATTGTGATTATGTGAAACCTATACTTGGAGCAAGAGGCAGTCATCAGAACAGAGAAGGAGACACTGGGTGGTTCAAAAGCAGGAAAGGGGTCTGTCAGGGATTTATTTTGTCTCCATACCTTTTCAATCATCCGAGATGCTGGGCTGTACGAGGAGGGGTGTGGCATCAGGATTGGTGGAAGAATCATCAACAACCTGCATGCAGATGACACAACCCTGCTTGCTGAAACTGAAGAGGACCTGAAGCGCTTGCTGCAGAAGGTCAAGGACTGCAGTCTTCAATATGGTTTGAAGCTCAATATGAAGAAAACAAAGATTCTCACCACTGGGCCAATTGGCAGCATCAGTATAGATGGTGAAGAGATTGAGATAGTTAACAGTTTTAGTTTGTTTGGCTCCACAGTCAACACTCTTGGTAACAGCAGCCAGGAAATCAGGAGACGAATTGAATTGGAAGAGTCAGCTGTGAGGGACCTCTCAAGAGTACTGAAGTGCAGCAACGTCAAGCTGGAGACTAAGGTGTGCCTGATCTAGGCTATAGTCTTTGCAATTACGTGCTATGCATCGGAGAGTTGGACAGTGAATAGGGATGATAGAAAGAGAATTGATGCCTTTGAATTGTGGTGCTGGAGAAGAGTTGAATATACCATGGACTGCTAGGAGAACAAACAGGTTTGTCCTGGAGAGGGTGAAACCAGAATGTTCCCTGGAGTCAAGGATTCTGAAGCTTCGTCTGACGTACTTTGGGCAAGTTGCAAGGAGGGACTGGTCCTTAGAGAGGGACATCATGTTTGGGAGAGTGGAGGGACGGCACAGGAGAGGAAGACCCTCGATGAGATGGATCGAGTCTGTGAGTGGAGTGGTGGGAATGAATGTGTTTGGGACAGCGAGGTTGGCACAGGATAGAACGGCGTTTAGGGCTCTTGTATATAGGGTCACTATGAGTCGCAAGCGACTCGATGGCACATAACAACAACCATCTCCATCTGTAATGTAAGGGAACTATATAGAAAGAATCCCTGAGTCTTTGGAAAATAAACACCACAGGAATCCTGAGAAGTTAGGGGGAAAGAAAAGGAAAAATGAAGTGGGTGGCTGAGGGGTTTTTTTGTGTGTGTGGTTTGGTTTTTTGTTGTTGTTTAAGCAAAAGTTAACAGATTGCAGTATTTCTATTTAGCATATGTTTTTGTCTCTGTATTGACAGCAATACGATTATGACAGCAGTACCATCCGGAAGAAGATATTTCAAGAAGCTCTGGTTCAAATCACACTTCCCACCGTGCAGAAGGCCCTGGCATCCACGTGCAAACCAGTAAGGGACTGGACTACTCCAGAGTCTGCTCTCATTAGCTGTGAAATCCACACAAGTTCTTTTGATAGGATGTGCTTGCAAACAGTAGACTAGTCTAGCCAACTTTTCCTGTAAGAAGTCAGAGGGTAAATATTTCCGGTTTGGCAGGTTAACCTCATAGTCTGGTTCACCATATTCAGCAGGAAAGCAGCCATAGACAATATGTAGCACATTTACAAACAATGTAAACAAATGAGCATGCTGTGTTCCAAGAAAAGTTTCTTTACAGGAAGAAGCAGCTGATCAATTTTGCTGACCCTTGATCTGTACATACTTGCAAAGCATAATGCTAAGAGTCTTAATCAAACTAAGAGTGGAAGTAGAGCATTGACAATATCAAGTCTTCATAGGAGAATGGGTCAAAGGGCCCAATGTATGCTCTTGAACTTGACTGCCAGGAAAACACCTACAGCTTATCATAGAAGGATACTATTAGGATATGTGTCTTGTTAAAACAAAACACTCAAGGTAGTTGTTGTCCAGACAGCTCTGACTCAGAGAGACCCTGTTGGACAGAGAACTGACCCATAGAGTTTCCAAGGTATAATCTTACAAGAAGCAAAGTCCACTCGCCCAAAGTGAAAAGCAAAGATCTGAGTCCAAATCTTGGCTCCTCCCTGTGTGTGGTTGGGAGCGTTGGTGAAGTCACTTTTCCTCTGTTAGCCTAGATTCTTTTTTTTCTCTGTAAAATGGATATATTAATACTTTGTTGTGTTATTCCAGAAATCATTGTTCTACTGCCTTTGAAAACTCAGTATCAATGAATTTAAATGATCTGAGTGTATTTGTAAGGATTAAGATGGAGAAATATTATTAGTTAGTGTCTAATCCTTTCGAACAACCCCATGTTTGGAGCAGAGCTGCCCCATGGGGCTTTCAGGGCTGTGACCATTTAAAAGCAGAACACGAGGCCTTTCTTTCAAGGTTCCTCTAGGAGTTTAAACTCCAGCCTTTTGACTAATAGTTTAGCACTTAACTCTTTGTATCCTTTGTATCATGTAAGGACTCCTAGAATCGAAGATTGGAATGATACAATTCATATTTGATAAGTATTTACCACATGCTAGGCATTGTGGTAAACACTTGATATGAATTGTCTCAATGCAACAACTCTATGAGGAGATAACATTAATATCTTCATTGTACAGAGGAGGGAGCTGATGGGTTAAGTAATGGGCCCAAATCACAAAGCTGGTATCTCTCAATATAAAACCAGCCCATGTTCATTTATAGTACAAGAGTCACACAGTAAGTGGTTTATTACTATTATTACTTAATTAACTATTCCTAGTAGTTTTATATTTCAGAATTGATTTATGTGTGTGAACACCTGGAAGATCTGTTTCTTTTTATAGCAAATGTTAAAGAAGGTTTTTAAAAAAGCTTTATTGATTTGCCTACAATCATTTATATACACCGTGCTTTATTCATGTGCATTATGATAAAACCAGTGATATACATTGTGTTTAGATTTTTTTAAAGGACTTTTTGGTGGTTTAGAGCCTCTCTAAGCATTAGAACATTAAAACCCTTTGCATGCGCTATTTTTTCAGCTAGTCACAGGCATATCTAAGCACCAACCGTTGCCACTGAGTTGATTATGACCCATAGTATCCTAAAGGACAAAGTAGAACTGCTCCATAAGGTTTCCCAAGCTGTGATTTCTGCAGATGCAGACTACACCTTTCTGTCTTAACAGTGGCTCGTAGACTCGAACACCAGCCTTTTGGCAGCAGCCAAATGCTTAAAACCATTTTACTACCTAAGTGCCACACAAGCAAACCGAGGATATGGTATTTATTTCTAGGAGCATATTTCCTTAAGAGAAAAGGGTTTGCCAAGCCAAAGGAATAAAGAACATGTCTATCTCTTTGTCCTTTGACCTTGTTGTTGTTAGATGACCTTGATTAATGACTCATAGAGACATTCTGGACAACAGATTAACATCTCACGCAATTCTGCCATATCTACACCATCATCACTGTGTTCAAGCTCCTTGTGAACTTGAACTTGACTCCCTGTGCAGTCAGGGTCAATCTATCTTGATGAGGGTCTTCCTCTCTTTTTCATCTCTTTTAAAGCAGAGTCATCTCTGCTTTTCTGAGCATGATGTCAGGGTGTTGTTGTTGTTGTTTTTAAGAACTTGCTCCTCCTGGCAACATGTACAAAGTGTGTAAGATAAAGATTTTGGTGTATTTTTCTCTACGGAGCACTCTGGTCACATTGACTGTGTAAAGAAGAATATGGCTTTTGGGTTGGAGAACTACTCAACAACCTGCATTATGCAGATGACACAATTTTACTTGCAGAAAACAAAGAACTGAAACCTTTATTGGAGAAGATAATTAGCTCCAAAATTGACTATACCACATTGTAAAGTGGGGAAAAACACCCAAAACCAAACCTAAAAGCATCCATAAAAACCATAGCCTTTGGCTTAGGATAGAAAATATTTAGGAGCCCAAATGATGCCTCAGTCCACCACAGGATGTTGATGTCTACAGATGTTCTGCTTCATATGTTTTTTTCTATCAGTCTAAAAGCTAATTCAGGTACCTCACAACTACCTTGTGGTGCAGTGAATGTTTAATATGGCCCTTCTGGACATGCACCATCTTGTAACTTCTACAAAGTGATTGGATAGAACTATGCAAATAAAAAGTTTGTGGCCCACCCAGAGAATTAAACAGACAGCTCATGGTGCAAAATAAGTTGCATGGAATCCTAATGAGCAAGGTGGAGTATTGTGCATCCTGCTAGGCATAGAGTGAGCCTTCCCTGAGGCAGGAAGGGGAACCTCACTACCATCAAGAAGGAAGAGCTAGGAATGGAGCACCTCTTTTGGGCTTGAGGTCCTGAGACCTTCCTAGGCCCAGGAGATGGGGGTGGAGGGGGGCTGCGAGAGGGGGAAAGTGGAGAGGAGAGATAGAGGAGAGAGGGAAGGGAGGAAGGGAAGGAAGTGAAGGTAAGGAAGTGGGGGAGGGGAAGGGAAGGGAAGGGTAAAGAGGGAGTGATTAAGTGAGAGCTGCAAGCAGACATGGCAGAAGCAGCTGAGAATCCGAACGAACGGAGAAGTGTCTGGGTAGGACTAGGAGCTCGGCTGAGTGCTACAGTAGCCTTAGAGTTAAGCCAGAGTCCGGAAGTTTTTCTCAACTCTGCTTTGTGGTCCGGGAGCACTTCCTTGAGTTATGCCTGGACCGGGTTCTGAAGAATTAAACATAATCAAGAGTGGACTCTCCAGCTCACAGAGTGAGACAACTGAGAGCCCCAGGCAGAAGGTTTCCTGGGAGAGTGGGACATCTCAGGCAAAGCTAAAGATTTTAGTAACATGTGCCCAAGCAGGACACAGGCCAGGCATGAGCAAAACTAAGGGCTGAGAGCTGAGAGAAGGTCTGTCCTGAGGTGGCTGAGAGAGCCCTGTTCTTAGGGATCCCTGCATAGCCTGTCTTCAGGGTGCCAAGTGAAACCTTTCCTTGCATGACTAAAAATAGCTTTGCATAGCAGAAGGTGCTGAAAGGGCTGCCCTGTACTGAACAAAGGGGACTTTGCCTATGTGTTTCCTAATCCTGATCCTAAATTGTAGCCTGATGATTCTGAGCGTGAACTGTATAACCTGTAGCCAACATGTAGCCACCCTCCACCCAATGTCTGAGGCTATGAATTTTATTTAGAGCGAAATGTCTTTTTCTTCAAAAGGGTAGTGAACTTGAATTGCTTATCTTTTGGTATACTTAACCTACTATACCCCCAGGGGTTCTTTGCTACTTGCCTGATAAACAATAATCTGTGAGCTCTCTGTGGCTTTTGCAATGAGTCAGTGAATCCAGCAGATAAGTAGAGTGCTGAGAAAGGGATGATTGCTATCAGAATTGGTAAAAAGGCTGGAGGGTAGAGGTGTGTTGGACCCGTGCCTCATAGGAACCAGGCTAACCTGATGCTGATGATCCTCTCACCTCATGAAGTTAGACAAGACACTACCACCCCATTCTTACACATCTCTCCTGTGATGAGAAGAGTGAGGAAGGACCTTTGTCTAATCTGCTCTCAACTTTCAGTGTATTAGCAGAGTGAATCGTGTCCCATATACAAGAAACTCTTGGGATTTTTAATAGAGTTTACTTTCAAAAAAGACGATGACCCAGAGTTCTCAGTAATGAAAGATATTAAGATTTTTAAAAATTCTGATTTAAAGACTAGATAGATTAGGGGATTAGATGCTTTATAAGAGGAAGCTTTATTTTGCTAAAGTATTCCTACCCTGAGTCCTTAAAGTAGCAGCTTTCAAGCTCTGTGGTTCTCCATCCTAGCTGCACTTAGACTAGCTTGAGGAGATTTAACAACAACAAAAACAACAAATCAGATTCCCAAGACTTACCCTTGATGATTTCCATTAAATTGGTTCAAGTGATTAAAAATGTTACAGCTGCTTCAGTTCTTAATTATTAGTAGTAGACGCCATCGCAATAGCTCTGTCCCCTGTCCTATACTATGCCAACCTCACAATCCCTGACCACTCGAGTCTATTGTAGCCAGCACTGTGTCAATCCACCTGCTTGAAGTTCTTTCTCTCCTTTTCCATCCCTCCACCTTTCCAAGCATGATGTCCTTCTCCAAAGAATAGCCTCTCCCTACCATCATGCCCAAAGTATGTGAGATGAGGCTTCACCAATCCTTGCTCCCAAGGAACAATCTGGCTTCCCCTCTCCAAGACATATATAAGTATTCTCTTGGGGGAGTCCATGGTACTCTCTTCCAACACCACAAATCAAAAGTATCAATTTTTCTTTTACCATCCTTATTCATTGTCTAGTTCAAAATAGAAAAGCTATTTTTATAAAGTTGAGCACACCTCAGCAATATGAACAACCCTAGAAATTATTCCTTTCCACAGAACAATTTAGTGGGTTCAAATTCTAAAGAGTTACTTTTTATTTCTTCTGCAATCATTAAATATGTATCAA